ACTGGTATTAAATGTAATGCATTTGTTAGCTCACCATTCTGTGACTAAAGAGATTATTGAACTTGTACAACCAATATAGAAAAATGATACTGAAATAAAAGGCATTTTGTTACTTCAAACAAATGAACTCAAAAAGGAAAGGACATAAAATGACTTGATATTTTATGGAATACTTTTGCATCAACAACCTTGAAACATATACCTCATCATCTCAGCTGATCATTCTAACAGTTTGGGAGTTACATGTGGGAAATCTGATAAACTTCCAAGATCCTCTCCCCAGCAACATGCACACACACAGGAAATTTGCCATGCTATTTTAAGATTTCCATAAAGTCACAGAAGTATACACATAAACCTACCTAGAGTCCAGGGATTCCCTATTTAAGATTTCTGATTGAGTTTATAAATTCTATAAGGGCCCAGACATATTTTTATAACATGGTACCTGGCCCTTTAAATGATATTTATACATGGTTAGAAATCAACAGTGGTGGTGAAATTGGTTTGAATCCAGCATAACTGTGAACATACACTAAATAATTGCTGATAGATTGGTTAAAATTTAATAAAGATAAGCTTTAGAATTCAAGTATGGATTATTTAATCTGAATTTTTTATAAATTCCAGTCCTACCACTGCAATTTTGGTACACTATGTCTGATTCAGATAAGGAGAGACATTTGTGGGCTTTGTTTTCAGTGTTACTCTGCAGAGCATGCAACTCTCCCATTTCCCACAGTCCAGGTCAGCTAACCTCATTAGGCACTCTTTTCCCTAGTTCTGAACACTCTTTCCTTCAAGTATGGGAAAGAGATACAGGATTTCCCAATCTGACATGAGAAGTGGGCTGGAAAATGCCTAGTTCCTACTCTTCTGCTCTACTGAACATCTTAAGAAACAAGGAGTTATGATATCTTGCATGCTTAATAGAAAAAGATATCATTGAAAAATAATTATTTGCACCAGGCATATTCTCCTAAGAAAATGAATATTCTCCACCCGCTTTTATTTCTATGTATTTCTATAATTGCTGATATAAGGCAAAATGTTTGCAGTCCAACGTAAATCAGAAATCCTAGCAACAAAACCCACAATTTTGTGTCAGAAATCTGGTTTTGAATCTGAACAAAGATAGGAGTTTTTGGTATATCTCACATTGTTTTAAAAATGCAATGTGTATTTATCATTAACAACGATCTGAAGGTTAATATGTACTTAGTGCTGAGAACTGGTAATCAGAAGGTAAGTAAGATATCATTTCTGATCTCAAGAAGGCCACAGTCCAGTAGTAGAGAGATACATCTACCTATGTAAACTACGGTAAAATAATGATAGAGGTAAATGCTAGGTAAAGTTGTGGGTCTACTGAGGAAGTGATTATATGAAGGTTCACAGTGGAGATGCTTGAGCTGGGTCTTGAAGGATGAATAGCAACTCATCATATGGTTGGAGGGAGAATATCTAAAATTAAGGAAACAGCATGTGAAACATTATAGAACAGTATAATAAAAATGATGAGTTTGGGGAAGTATATACAAATTGGTGGAAGGAATTAAAGCTATAGAAGTATACAACTGCAAAATCATGCCAAGCCTTGTTTATCTTTACAGTAAGTTAAAACTTTGTCACATAGAGAATGGAGAGCCACCAGAGCTTTTTGAGCTGTGGCTTACCTAGTTAGACTTGCAATTTCTAAAGATCACTTTCGTAACAGAGTAGAGGACAGATTGCAGGAGAGAGGATGGAAGCTGGGAGACTAGCAGATCTGTAAGTATCAGAGACGATAAGGACCTAACCAAGGTGTTACAAATGATAGACATTATATTTGTGATTATGGGTGTCTTAGTACATTTAGTGTTGCTATAAAGGAGTACCTGAGGCTGGATAATTTATAGGGAAAAGAGGTTCATGTGGCTCATGATTCTGGTGGCTGGAAAGTCCAGGATTGTGCAGCTGCATTGGTGAGGACCTCATGCTGCTTCAACTCATGATGGAAAGCAGAAGAGGAGCAGGAGTGTGCCAAAGAGATCATATGGTAAGAGAGGAAGCCGGATTCTTTTTAACAACCTGCTCTTGTGAGGGAATTAATCCATTCTTGCCAGAGTGAGAACTCACTCCCTGCCACTGGGAGGGCATTAACCTTATCATGAGGAATCTGCCCCCATGACCCAAATACCTTCTACTAGGCCCCATCTCCCTACACTACCACAGCGAAGATCAAATTTCAACATGAATTTTGGCAGGGAAAAACTATATCCAAGTCATAGCAATGGGAATGGGGAAGAAACAGGGAAGAAGAGAGGAGAGGAATACTTTTACAGAGGATGATGATCTATCATAATGATGATCGAATCATACATAACCTTATATCCCTCGGTAATCTCATTTGATTTGAATTCACAAAGTAACACTATGAGAAGGCAAAGTAAATCCTATTGCATATATTTATTATGAATCTGAGATTTGGAAATTATTCCAAAAGAACATATTTACTATATGGCACCATGTTCAAAAGCCAAGACTTTAATAATACTATTATTATACAATAAAACTTTTACAATATTCAGCTTTCAAGTATTTTCAAATACTTGTGACTGAGATACAATCGTGTCTTTTAAAACAGACATGATTAACTGTTTCTACTCTTTGTAAATCAGGAGGGTGCTCAAAAAACACAGTTCTATTATGTAAATCAGCTTCACCCAGATAATTAAACATATAGCCAGCTGCTAATGGGGATGGATTATTAACAAAAGAAAGAAGGGACGGAATATGAATGTACATGAAAGTAGGGGTGTGTTAGACAGAAAGAGATGCAGAGAGGGAGAGTGGAGAGAGAAGAGACAGAGGAGAGAAAAAAGAGGAAGAGAGAAGAGACAGAGAAGGGAGAGAAAGAAACTGTTGATAGAGACATTTGGATTTTTGGCTTACTGGGTTTGAGAGGTTATTACCAACTACTTTTAATTTACATCCTAATGTAGCTATACGTTCAGATAGTTGGACTGAAAATTAGGTTAAAAATATTATCCCAAAGACTATTAAAATAACTTCAAAGTATACTATATGTGTAGCCTGTCAAAAAAGCATTCTTGCTGAAGTTGATGATTTCCAGTTTATCATTTATTTTACAAGCATTGATTGAACACACGTTTTACACTGAGCACACAAACATGATAGCATAACATATGACTGGGAAATCCTTTTTTAGCTTTCTCCTTTCTATTACTCTAAGTTGGAAAATAAAAGATCAACTTTGTTTACATCATAAAATAATAAAATTAATATGTATTAGGCAATATAAAAGTTATTACAACTTACAGAAAACTTTGATGAGAAAAACAAGTCCACTACCCTCATGAAGATAATGCATAAATTTTTCTGTGCTTTCTAAAATCGTTAAACCGTTTATCCACAATTTGCTTTCAAACAATCTTTTTTTTTTTCAACTTCAATCTCTAACAGTAGAACTCTAGGTCTATCAAAATCCAAGCAATCTGCTGCTTTTTATTTTATAATACATGGAAATTCTAGCTGCCTTTCTCCCCAGGTGCTTTCACACATATGTCCCTCTTGTTAGAACAAACATTACCATTCTCCTATAAGCCTGGGAAACTTGAGACAGCCGCTATTGTTCCAGAAGGTGGTTTTTATTTTCAGTGATAGATCAATCATATTTTAGCCAGAAAGTCAACAACAAAACTTGACAGCGATTCTTCCCTTCTCCCTCTTCAAATGCTCATGGTCCGCTTCATTTTTAGTCACCTCCTCTCGAGGTCAGCTCCTAAACAGCAGATGGTGTGCTTGTGTGCAGCAGCTGGCTTCATTCCACTCCGTCCCCTCCTTCTCTCGAGGGACTGTGTGCGTGTGCCTGCGTGCGCGCCCGTTTGTGTATGAACATTCACGACTTTCAGTTGCCATTCAATGCTTTCTGCTTCTCCCAGCCAAAAAGCTGGGAAGCTTGGCGTACTCTCCAGCAATGAACCCAGATGTCCAGCTGTGATACAGTTTCCTTTCCAGTCTCCCTGCTGGAGCAGTATTCATTCACAACTCCAAATAAAAGAGTTATCTACAAGCCCTGTTTTGTCCTTATGGTTTGGCGTTACAGTCATATTTGGGGGAAATAGTGTAGGAGCCAGAGGCAATGAGTGAAAATCTAAAATTATTTTCCCGTTTCACTAGGATGGGATGAGATGGTTCTTCAATGTGGCTCAGGTCCTTGTCGTTTATGGGGCTGGCTCACTCAATGCATCATTGCCTACATCAATGTCTCTGTTTTCTTTCTTCAGATGAATATGCTGATGAAACTCCAAGAAGCAGCCAATTACTCGGGCACACAAAGCTGCGACAGTGAAAGCACCAGCCACCGTGAGGACATTTTGGATTCGTCTCTTGAATCTACCCTCTAAAGGGTGAAAAAAGTTAGGGGGAAAAACTATGCTTTTAAAAAATGTTTGAAAAGAAAGGTATTTTCACTAAACCACTGCCAGTATAAAAGCACCCTGTCAAGGGCCCTGACCCAGAGTCGTGGTCTCCAAGGAGGCAGCAGAATTAAGTCTGAATCGCCAAGATGCTAAATTGAAATGAAAGCTTAACTTTATTTTATTTTTAAGCATTTTTATATTCATGGAGTGATAGAAAGCTCCATTCCTCAACTGGAAAGGACCCTAAAGACAGGGCAACTGAGTAGATTGCACATGGGTTAGCCAAACTGGACTTTCTTTTTTTCCTCTTTAAAAGTTTACAATGCAGACCTTTTTTTGTCCCTTCCTTTTGTTTCCTCTGCGGGGCTGTTTGTTCTCCCCAGGTAGGGTCCATTCTTCTAACTTGTCCAACCTCCTTTGTGCCACATGGTGCTGGGCACAGGGCTCCAGTAGTGTTTGTGTTGTGCGCTCACCCCATTCCGAAATGAATCCAAGAGGCCAGTCCTCCATAAGCACAAATGGAATTGTGCAACCACCAGAAAAACACTACTGTGGCAAACTGGAGAAGTGCCAATTTAATTCTAACTGCCATGTTCTCATGATGTGCTCCACCAACTTTTTAGTATATGAGTCACAGGTTTTATAAGATTGTTTTTATCACAGTGGTCTTTTTAAACCACCTGCCCACTCCCTTAACAAGAGTTTTATACCAATTATTAGTCAACACTGAAAAAAGGCTTTTTTAGGGCTTTATTTGTTTGAGCCTTTTCAGTGAAAGAAGGAACATTTCCTATGGTGCTGTCTCACTGCCTTAAAACAGATTTCTACAACAGTTTAACAGCTGGTTTAAATCCTAAACCATTGGTAATTTCCACTGTCTTTTCATTTACAACCAAGCAACATCAGTTAACAGTAGCCTCATCTCTATATAGCTTTCTCTCTTTTTTTTTTTGAAGAAATGGATAGGAGAAAGATCAGTATTTTTACCTTGTGAATAGATTGCTTTGCCTATCCTCCAAAATATTCCAGTAACCCAGAAACCCTCTTTGACCGTCACTTAAAAGTTGAGACGTGGCGAAATTATATCCAGTTCTAAGTGAAAGAGTTTCAGAAGGCGGGAGATTTTGAATTTTTATCCAGCAGAGCTGGAAGCACTAGATGCAGCATGAGCACAACTGTTTGGCTTTCCTTCCCTGTTCTTTTTTTTTTTTTTTTTAATTCGTTTTGACGCATGTTGTTTTGATTGCTATTGTTGTACATGAGAAATTCAGCATTAAAGAACACTGAAGCAGTAAAGTCACTGTGGAAGAGGAAGCGTTTATACTGTAAAAGAAGGTTAGATTTGCACAGTCTACTGGGTAGGTATTGTAAATAATAATTTTTAAAACTTGCACAAGTCAAAACAAACACAAACAAAATTGTATTTTATCCTGTTGGTGTTAAGAGGTGTTTCACTTGCTGAGATTTCCTGTACGTTGCAAACAAATACAGAATGCAAACCCTCAAAGCTGTTATTATCTGGTGTGTTTGTCCTGTATTTACAGTTGTTATGACTATGCAGGAGCTATCAGTGCTAGAGTGAGCATGCTTCAAAACTGTACCTGAAGCCAATATATTTTTGGATGAGTAAAACTGTCTGAAAGTACATCTGTCCTGGCAGGCTTTAAAGAACGTGCATGAAAACTGATCAGTCATTGGAGAAGTTACCACCACACACAGAGGACAGGTTTAAGTGTATAAAACCCAAGGGCTAGGCCATGGTGTAGACTTGTTCTATGCATGTGAAAATGTGTTACTTTTAGGACGTGTAATTGGTGCTACTCTCTGTGACCACTCATGGGTCAGTTGCTATAAAATAACAACAACAACAATACCACCACCACAATACATCTGTGCAGTTTTCAGAGTGTTACTAAATGTATAGGTCCTTACACGGTGCTATTGCCCTAAGGGAAATCCGAACTGAATTTATGCACATAGAATTGTCACCCTGACTTTGAAGCCTCAAACATGGATCAAATCTGTTGTGAAACATCAATATATGTAGCTGGATGAGTGACTAGTTGCCCTTGTATAATATGTGATCTAAGAAAATTGCTAATCTTTCCCTGCCATTTTGAGAAATGCAGTCCAAACATGAGCATAAACAGAATTTCCTGCAATACATCCCAGTAGGTCCACCTAGTTTACAACTTAAACTAGTTTGTGAAACATTTGTCTGTATACATTTTATATTTTGTACATTTTTGATGTAACATATCATGTAAATAGGCAGAAACAGTGAAATAAATCATCTGAAAAGTTTTTGTAGTCTTTGTAAAGCCCCAACAATAAGTACTTGGTGTCAATGGACTTAACTGGATGATGTATTTTCTATTGGTTTATTGTTCCTCTAGCTTGTAAACCAGCTTGCATATATTTTTTTGCAAATGTGCACCCTGTATCTGTCTAAATTATTACTTTGCCATTAAAGTGGAATTATTTATTGACAACGAAGTGTGGTGTCTATGTATGGAAAAAATTGAATAATAATGCACCAAGAAGTGTCAAGCTTTAAAACGTTGCTTGTGCTATTAATATACCATCAATAGGGATGTATGGTAATCCATATTTTATGTACATCATGGAAAGGGCCTGAAAGCTTTTAAGTAAATAAAGGCAATAGGTTTATCTTTCAAAATGAAAGTTATTTATTCAGCGGACATTTTTGGAAAG